AAAAATCTGTGACAAGGTGTGTATATAACTGGTGTTTTTCCCTTCAGAAAAGGTCATGGCTAGGGTAGAGATGGATTTTACTCCCAGCCATTGCCAGGACAATGGGGAATGGCCATGAGTTTCAGGAAAGGAAATTTATATGGGTCATAACAAACACATTCTTCACTGAGAACATCTAAGCTCTTGTACAGGGATCTAAATTGCCTTTGGAGTCTCTGTCCTTAGAGATATCCAAACTCACCTGAACAAGGCTACAAGCAACCAGATCTGCCTTTGAAGGTGACTCTGCTTTGAATGGCTGGTTGAACAAGAGAGCCCTAGAGGTTCATTTCAATCTGAATTGTTCTGTGATTCTGTGTAATCAGTGACTGGTTAAACCCTTGAGGGGGCTTATTCCTATAYCAGTGTGCAGGGTAAATCTGAATTRCAAGAATAAACCCAAAGCTATGCAGAAATGTGGGGTCAGTGACTCACCCAAGTCACACAGGAAATCGGTGGCAGAGAGACACTCTCCGGACTCTTAGGAAAATACTCTTCTGTTGGTGGAAAAGGAAGAGCGTTAAAACACAGTTTCCGAGCCTCTTTTGGGCCACATCTGCCCTGGCTCAGAGGGGTTTTAGGCACCGTCCTCAGCGCCTGTCAGTGGGAACAGCACGGAGCAGCGCWGCACAGAAGAGAAAGGGTGGAGCCAAGCTCGCTCCGATCCAGGATAAGCTGACAAACCCAAAGCACTGATTAGGAGCCACAAACAATATCTGGGACTTCTCCAGCCTCTGGAAACGATGCGTGAAATCCCACTGGCGTATGACCGGTGGAAAACTTGCTCCTTCTACCTGGGCAGCTGCCGGCGGGCTTCCTCGGCTTAATTTTGCATCCAGCGTGTGAAGCAGGAGGAGAGACTTCCCACAGTCCCACCCCCAGCTGGACTCTGCCCTCCCCTGCTTTCCTCCGCTCCCGCTGTCCCGTTGCCGGCGCTCGCTCCTTGGAGCCCCGTTTGACCCCGCGCCCGCCGGAGGCTCCTGGATGAGCAGGGATCCCTGCAGGGGTGGCGTGGCCCCCCAGCCCTCCCGACCGCCGGCGCCTCTCCCCGAGCCCCACACTGGATCATGCAGTGCATCCGAAGGCAGCCCAAGCGCACCGTGTCCCAGGAAAACATCCTACTGGAGCAGAGCCGTAGAGTGGCCGCGTTGAATGGCATCAGGCTGGGTAAGGGGCAGCTTGGGCAGAGCCTGGGCACTGGCAGCCGCTTTCTTTCTCTTGTGCCTGCACAGAGGCAGTGCTCCACCCTAAACTTGGGGGTTATTTTTAAATCCCCAAGGTTTCCTTTTGTTGCCTGTAACCGCACACCAGATGTGCGTACTGCTTCGTTGGAGGCATCAAAGAATGTGGGTAAAGGGTTGGCTCCCAAATCTCTTGCTGGGCTTTYTGAACTATCTCTGGTTGAGGGTGTTTGAGGAGGGCAGTGCCCTTCTCCTGCTCAGTTTTAGCCCTGCTCGGTGCTGCCTGTTGCTGTAAGAGCCCAGAGAACCATAAGAGTTTGTCGATGAAAGAGGAAACCCGGGAAGTTTCATAACTTGTGTGCTTGGCTATGAATTCATTGCTGGTTCCTGCTCTCTGGAGGCACAGCCCCGGTGGATGTGAGTCCCTTGATTCCTGTGTACACAGAGGGCGGATGGGACTGGGAAATAGCCACTCACCCACCCGAGTTCTTTAAATTTTACCAGAGAGGCTTTCTGCCCTTTTCAACCAGCAAACCTGAGTTAAGCCCGGTGTGTAAGCAGGTGGGAGGGGTACAACAGGCGGGAGAAGACTTGTTTTATAGCAACTGTAATTAAATTCTATCAGATCAGCAGATTTATGAGTGAACAGTGCAGCAATATGGATTATCACTGCCATCCTGACTATCTCCTCAGTGAACTTGAAGCCCAGCTCCTATGGTGGCAGCTCTTGTTTTATTGTGCTTCATGCTTGCTGTAAACCTGAGCTAGATAAGGCAAAGGTGAACATTTCTAATGTGYCAGTGTCTAATGCTTCCTAGAACAGTGTATTAACATGATGGTTATTGCAGTGCTATGTGTGCTTAAGGCACTCCTTCCTTGGCCAAACACAATTTTTGCTCTGAACATCACAGTGKGCTKAATGTATTCTGTTCAGAAAGTGTGTGATTGATTTGATGTTTTGCAAGGAGGGGGGTCCTGACCCTTGAAAGAGAATCTGGAATTTTGCATGCCAAGCATGTATTTGGTGTTTTACAGATGATGCTAAGCAAGGCACAGTCCTGCCACATGTTTCAGGCAGTATTTGCACATCTATTTCAGTGCAGTGATTGTGCTAAATGTTGTTATATAGTTGGGAATCAATATCCTTGTCCTGCTGCACAGATTTTTTAACTTTTAGATGGTGCATGTGTACAATGACTTTGGTTTCTTTTATACGAGTTTTCATTGCTGTGAGATGGAGTTGTGGACCACAAACTTCCTCAGTTTCAGGCTTTGAACAATCTGGTCTAGTGGAAGGTGTCCCTGTCAATAGCAGGGGGTGGAATGGGATGGCATGTAAGGCTCTTTCCAACACAAATCATTCCATAATTCTCTGTGGGGTTGTTAGGCAGAAATCCTCAGGTTTCTGCTGGGAAAAGGTAGGGTTTTTTTTTTTTTTTTTTTTCCTGGAAAGCAGTTCAAATAACCAGCCAAGAATAATGCCCCACTGACACACCAGGGGTGTGTTTGTGGTTCCTGTATGAGCAGATCAGAGTGTCTTACACTGCATCTCTGGCCTGACAAAATACTGTTTCAGGTAGGAATTCAGGAATTAAGTGACTCACCCAAGAAAAGAGTCTGTGCCAGKGCTTGGTTGGGCATGGGAGGCAGAACCTGAAGCACTGGCCCCTTCCCTGTCCGGTTTAGCTGTGTGAGCTTGGACTGCCAGAGACCCCAAGCAGCCTGACACAGGCTGTGCCCACCTGGTTAAGGGGATGTCCCTCCTTCCTCTGGGTCCTGCAGGCAGGACTTGGGGTCACCACTGACACAGGTCATCTCAGGGTGGCTGCTCTCTGTCTGAAAGGACCCCACATCAAGGGGATGTCAGAGCTGTTAGACACTCATGATCAGCCCTCTTGCCCTTTCCTGGCCAAACCTGCTGTCTCCTAGAGTGAAGCTCATCTCTGTCCGCTCCTTGGTTTCTCCCTCTGACCCTAACTCTGCCATCTTTAATCTTTGCCATGCTTTCACCACACACTGTCCCATTTCATCCCTCCCTCCTGCTCTTGCAAAGTCCAGTGTCCTCCTTTGCTATCATTTAACCTTTCCTGGTACTCAGGCACAGTGGCCAAGGATGAGTGAAAGGGCTGCTCCCACCCCATAGTTAGATCCTGGGAAGAAGAAGGGGAGTTTTGACCATGCTAATACACTGACTGAGCTGTGCTGGTGACAGGATGAAGGGCTCTGAGCTCCAGCTTGTGTCTGGACTGCATGGCCCAAGCCTGGAGGAGAGGAATCTGCCTTTGGCCACCATCTATGCCCAGCCAGATTTGTCTTCATTACATTGGTGCAGCTCTTTGGGATGTCCTGGTAGCAGGACACATTACAGATGCTGCACTCAGGGTGTGTGGAACAAAACCTGCCCTGGTTAAATGGATTTCTCAKTGCACACTCATGGACACAGACATCCAAAGGAATTGATGGTTTTCTGCTTTCCTCCTCATGTCACCCTAGGATGACATGTCCTCCTCCTAGTCCTGTGATGATGCCTTGAGTAGTTGGGATTTGTGAGCCTGGGAGCTGGGATAGAAATGTGGGTGAACAGGGTGAAGGGAGAGGTTGGTTTCCTCTCCAGGCACCCTGAGGAGAGCCCCGGGGATGTTGGTGTGGCTGGAGTCTGTGCTATCTTCTCTGCACTTGGAGGGCCTTTGCCTCAGAGCAGAAGCCAGCTCAGCACAGCCCAGGAGACCAAGAACCTGTGAAGCTGTTGTGGTGTCTGTCCTTCCTCCAGATGATCTGSCTCTTGTAAACCCCTGGGAATCCTGTCCCAGGTCCCTTAGCTGGGCTCAACTTTTCACCCTTTTGTGGTTTGCAGGAGACAGCTTTTTTTTTTTTTTTCCCCATGAATTTTTTTCTGAGGTTTTCAATGATGGAAGCATTAAAATTCCCTTCTTGGGAAACTCCAGATTGATCATGAGCTGAGAAGCCCAGGGGGTGCTGTAGCAGGGAAAGACAATTAACAAGATAGCTAATTTAATGTTGAGGAAGGAGAGAGGCCAAAAATCACCTTTGCAGGACCTCCAGCTTCTGATGCTCTCAACTCTGGATGTTTCAGCCCAGCTCAGCTCTGGGCTTGGTCCTTTGAAAAACCACTAAATGGTGTGAGTGGATCACAAAGTGGACACTGGGCACCCCTAATATTCATCTCTGATGTAAATCTTGGGCTTTGTCAACATGAAATGCTCTCTTTAGGCCAGTGTATCCCAGTGACAAACCCACAGTGCTGGTATTTGCTGCTGCCACCATGACACACCTTGGCGCTTTGCAGCACCTGATGCTTCAGTTTCCTRCATGGAATGTCAGGAGACTGGGAATTTGGCCACTGGGACCTCATGGTCTTGTTTTCCAGGCAGGCATCCTGGAAACCTCTTTGTTTTCCAGGCAGGCCTGAAGTTTGGTAGTTTATTATCTTGCTTTGTTTAAAAGCCAATGATTTAAAGTAGCAATCAGAGAAGACCCAACCCAGTGTCACAGGGGACATTGCAATAAAAATGTTTTTGTGAGACCCCACATTACATTTGTGTAGTACTGAGGAATTTCCCTCCAGGTGAGTGCCAGGTGACTGCAGGTGGCTGAGTGGTCACCTGCATTGTCAAGATGAGGTTGGAAAAGTTCCCTCTGAGTTGGGATGTGCATGGTCAGCGCTGCAGCATCTCTGAACCAGCCTCTCATGCTGCGTCACGGAACTGCAAGGTGCCTATTGCAGAAAGCCCAGCATGCGTTTCTCATGTTTCATGCTCTCACCCTCCTCAGCCCACACGCTTCAGATCTGTAATTAATGGTTGGTTTGAGGGACAGATTCCCCAAGGTATTTAGGCATGTGGAAGTCATGCCCTGTTGAGACATTCAAAACCGTGTAGAATGCCAAATCTACGTGGCATTGGCAGATTCTGTTGCCTCTCTAGATGTCACAAAAGCCTTCCTGAATCTAGGCTAAGTTGTGAAATCTGAAATTCCCACAACCAGAAGGTCTGGTTGTTATTACTTGACATTGCATTGGCCTTGTAGTGCAAGAAAGACAAAGACCTTTGGATGGTTGAGCAACGAGGAGAGCGTGGCTGCTGCTTACTGCTGCCTTACACGTGTGTTACTGCCTGTCATCAAACTTATCTCTCCTAACCTTCATCCGATCTGCAAAATTCCCATGTGGATAGGAAGGCACTGCTTGCCAGAGGARGAGAGAGATATCTTTGTGTATTCCTGTTTCCGCAAAGGAAATTTTGTTGCAGAATAGATTTGAAATCACTTGAAAGTTCCTGTCAGCATTCCAGTTACAAGTTATGCAACTTTCTTTTCTCTGCTTTTACTGTTCTGTTGTTGGTTTTGTTGTAGTTTTCTAATCCCAACAGTAGACTCTATTTGTTGGGAAGGAGATATTTTATCTTTGTAAAACACCTGACAATTATAACCCAAAGCCTTCAGACTCAATCTTAGAAACACAAAACCTCAGACGATTTTTGTGATCGTGAAGTGGCATGGAGGATTTCTGGGTCTCTCTGCTCTGCTCTGTTCTCCTCTCCTCCCCAGACCTGTCTGTCCTGTGGAAAACTCTCTAAGCATCATTTCCTGAGCTGTCTCTTAAAACATTACCACTTCTGTTTCTCTGCAGGCCTCAARGATGACAAGGACCTCAAGTTCCTCCTGAAGGGCAGCCAGCTGCTAAAAGTGAAGTCAAGCTCCTGGAGAAAGGAGCGGTTCTACAAGCTCCAGGAGGACTGCAAAACCATATGGCAGGAGTCAAAGAAGGTGYTGAGATCCCCTGAGTCACAGATCTGTGAGTAAAGTTTGCTTGGTCAGAGGTGCCTGGAGTGAGCCAGGACATTGCAGAGCAGGTCCTGCACACCTCCTGTGACACACAAACCAAGCCTGGGGACAGCCACGAGGAATCTGCCGTGTCAGGCATGGCCACATTGCCCAAGCTCCTGAGCTGCTGCCTCACATGGTTGTGGGGTGGGCTTGCTGGTCTCAGCAGCCCTTTCTGGCTCTTTTCCTCCACAAATTGTCCAGATCACTCAGGTGTCTGAGCTCTAATGCTTGGTGTGAGACATGGTGGGAGCATCTGTGGTGTGGTGTGGTGTGTGGCCGTTGCTGCTTTCCTGCCTGCAGCCCCTGGGAAAACTGGCATTTAACCCTCACAAGGGAGCTGCAGAGACGTGGAAATCCAAGGGCTGACAGGAGGTGTTTCTGGGATGGAAAGCCTATTATCATCCTTATCTTGGAAACCCAGGATCTGCCCTATTATAAAAATTCCAGATATTACAATCACCATTATATGGCACAGGAAAAGCTCTTCTGTGCCAGCAGCACCGAGCTTGGCACTGTAMTTGGGACCCCAATTGAATCAATTGTGCAGTCAAAATGAGATCACACAGGGTGTGTGTCTGTTTATAGCTGTTCTTTCTTTTAATTTCATATTATTCTGACATCTTTCTCCATATTTGCTGACAATTTTTCACTGATCATTGTGGTCTTTTAAGTCCAGGAGATAAATTAGTAACGCAGAATATGTTTTATGGCATGTTGAAATGTGTTAATTACATAATTTTTTTTAAAAGATCACAATTAACTAAATGAAAGGTGTGTCTTCCAAATTWCTGTCCCCCCCGCCCCGCAAGCAGTGATAACATTTTCAGTAGGAGGAGTGAAGTAACAAGGTAAAATATGTTTGGCTTGTAACCCTGACAGCCACACTCTTCCCACATGRCCTTGGGCACCTTATTTAACCTCTCTGTGCATCCTTCTGCATGCATTTTATTTCTCCTCTAACTGTAAAAGCTTTGAATCATTGCATCACAGAATGGTTTGGGCTGAAAGGAACATTAAAGATCATCCAGTTCCTACTCCCTGCCATGGACAGGGACACCTCCCACTACCCCAGATTGATCCAAGCCCCATCCAGCCTGACCTCGAACATTTCCAAGAATGGGGCATCTGCAGCTTCCCTGGATAACCCTGATGCCAGTGTCTTGCCACCCTCTGAATAAAAAAATTCTTTCTGACATCTAATTTAAATTATCTCCATTTTTAGTTTAAAACTGTTCCCCCTTGTCTATCGCTGTCTGTCCATGTAAAAAGTCCCTCCCCCTCCTTTTTTTCTAAGCCCCCTTATACAGAGAAAGGCTGCAGTGAGACCTCCCCTGAGCCTTTGGGTTGGAGGCTGTCCCTTCCTGGGTGTTTGGATGCCCAGCCTGGCAGGGTTCTGAGCTCAGCTGGGCTCCTCAGGTCTCCCAGTGCAATAACCCATCACATCAACAACAAACACAGAGTCCTCAGTGAATGTTTGCTCCCTGGGAACTCCTGCTCTGCTGAGCTCTGTCCCATATCAAACCAGTCCTTTCCCTGATAATATATATCTTGCTATATAGAATATATCTTGCGAATATATCTTGCTTGAATACAAATAAAGACACGAGTTGAGAAGAATGACTTTCAGATCTCCCTTTCCTGTGCTCTGAGGCAGCAGTTTCCAAATTAATGGGTCTGAGAGCACCTACGGCAACAGTGCTGACCCCACCTAGTGCTTGGAAGTAAATGGGAAGGGATCCTTCTGCTCTGGCTCCAGGGACMTTGATGTTTGCCTGGAGGAGCCCTGTTGGATCCATGGCTGTGGCAGTGGCATGGAGAGGGGGTACAACTGTGACTATTTTATGAAAAAGAGTGAGATGGAATCCTTTGAGCTGGGCACTGGGCACAGGCTGGGGGTGTGTCTGCCTGGGTGTGGCTTTACAGCGCTCAGGATACCCTTTGGTAACTGGGCACAGCCAGCATTGCCACACTGCTGGAGACAGCCAGTGCCACCATGGGCAGGAGAGCCTGCTGTGCCCTGGGAGTGCCCTCAGTGACACGTGGAGATGGAGTAATGTTACCTCATGGATCACGGCACGTGTGTGCTCTGTGACACTCCATGCAGGCACACCTTTCCCAGAGAAAGATTATTATTGTTATTATTTTTTCTTTGTTATTAGGATAACAGTAATTAGGGGAGGCAAAGTTKTTCCTTGCAGCTCTGTGAAAGCAAACTCTGGCCAGTCTCTGGCCAGACTGGCTTTGCATCTGCACWCCTGTCTGGCTGTGGGAGCTGCCTGCTGCTGGGACAGGCTGTGTCCCACATGCTCGGGGGAGGATAAGAGCCTGTGGTGCCAGGCTCCAGTAGGGTTGGAGGGACACCTCGGGGCTGCTTTCAAGAGGTGCTCGTTGCCCTTYTCTTTTATAGATCCTCTGAGACTTYCCATTTCAGARTTTTCAGAGTGATTGCTGTGTTTGAGTTTCATTCTGGAGCTTTTCACTTCACCAGGCTGCTTTGGGTCCAGGTACAGAGCAGATTACCCCAGCTCCTGTTGTGTCCTCTGGCAGGCTCTGTCACYAYGGTTGCCTGCTCTTTTGATCCAGCRTGAAGGAAGAGTGAAAGATCATGACTGGAGACCCAAAATCAGGGACTTCAGGGCGAGTCTCCCCAAAGAGTCCCCTTTCCTTGTTAACWGACACTGTCCTTGCTCTCCAGGACAAAGCCTTTCTAAAGCTGCAGATAAGCTCCCTTTTCAGAATGGAAAAAAGAATGAGCAGAATGGAARCTTGGAGGTTTAGCAGCAGGTCTAATCTTATCTGCAGCATTACTGACAGCRATGGATGCACCTCGGAGGAGCAAAGTCTGAGTAGTCTAAGGGTTATGTTTTTGTTTGGATAATTTCTTGTTATTCCTGTTGGTGTTCTTGTGACCATGTGCAAAAGCTATTTGTAAACCATTGTGTGGTGGAGTCTGGTAGATAAAACTTGAGAACTGCCAAGGTTAGACAGGAGAACCTCAGATGTTTGAAGTTCAAAAAAACCCCTCATATCAGGGTTGTCACAGGAACAGATGTTGCCTGGATCAGACACACAGGGTACAATCAGTACCTTCCTCTGTTGTCTTTATTTTAAACAACTGAGAGTTTAGATTGGATGCTGAATTCATAGCTGTGTTACCCACAGGACTCTGGGGATGAGCTGTCCTTCCAGAATGGTTTCTATGCAGGTAGAACATAATCCATTTTTTCCTTATTGTCAATAATTCCTTATTTTTCAGTATGTTCCATTTAGGCCCAAGGGAACATATCAGTTTTTTTTTTTTTCTTCCCAAAAACCCTTGAAGCAGCTCAAGTCAGTTTTCCAACAAGTATTTTCTGCTCTGGGTGTACTCTCTGGTTGCCTCCAGCAGAAACACAGGTATGCTGGGCAAAAGGGCTGCACAAAAGCACCTCTAAAAACCCATTTTTCACCACAGCCTGCTCCATCCTGTGTCTGAGCTACCACCAGGCCCACAAACACTGCTGCTCTCATTATCTTAACTGGTGTGTAGGGGGGCCATGGGAGGGGGGATGCTTCTTTCCCCCATGAGGCTTTTACAGCACTTTCTCCCTGGTCTCTAAAAACAGAGTTAAAGTGGCAGGATTAACAGTTTTGGGGCAAAGAAAAGATTTGTGCAAGGGAGCTGGAAAACAGTTCATTCTGAGGCAATTCACTCCTGAGCATCACTGTGGTGTGAGGGAGGAGGACCAAAGAGGGCAGAGGGATTTGGCTGCAGGAGCAGCAGCCTGTCAGTAGCACTGTCTCATTTAGCTGTGGTCAAATATCAGATCTTATCTAGGTGAAAAAAAAAAAAAAGCAAAAAGACATTTGCTGCTTTCAGTGAAATTGATTTTTGAAAGTATTTTCTTAAACCAGCTGTAATCCCTGGTGTGAGCTCACTTAAGCCAGACTCAATCCCTTTAAAAACTGTCTCAACTCAGGGATTTGTAGGAATGGTTGAAAACTTTCCAGTGAATCATCCTTTTGAGTARTTGGTGGAGAAACAGAATATTCAGAGGCAGGAGGAAAAGGCTGAACGAGTCAATTAGGTTTAGGGGTGCTACAGTGGAGCCTCAGAGATGGTGCTTTGGTACCTCCTGCACTCTGCCTCTCCCAAAGGCTCAGGGAGGTGACGTCTTCCATGACAGCTGTGAATGAGTTTCACACATCGAACCAGGGATGAGTCACTGGGGCTGCGTCGTTTAGTCATGAGCAGTGAAGTCAAAAGAGAACTTCAGGAGTTGTAGATGAAATATATCAATTTCTAGCCAAAAGCTTTACATAAAAACTACTATTGTTAGAATTCTTTTTTTTTCTGTATTTTGGTTAAAATGATCAGTTTTGGGAGGTGAGCTAAATTCAGTTACACTAGTGAGTGTTGCAAGTGATGATTATATTATTACTTAAGGTCATGAAATTGGTATTTTGATCTGAGTAGTTATTCTCACTATTAAAAATTCACAGAATTAGTTCCAATTTCTCTGACCTCTGGCACAGTTACAGGATATTTTTGCTTGGTTTAAACATAGTACAAAAGCTTTGTGTTTATAGCCTAGTACCAGTGTTCAGCAAAAAACTTTCTCCTTTGCTTTTGGCTTGCTGTGAAATTTATGAATGTACTTAAAAAGCCATGCAATGAACATATMATACTACTTTTGTGGAAGAATAAATTATTGTCTCCATTGAATTACTGTCCTTGCTTGCAGAAGAACAGGAAGGATGTAATACTGCTCTGTGCTTGCTCTAGTCAAGAAGTGAAAGCTTGAAATTGTTCCTGATAAGTGTCTAAAGTCAACAGAAACTCTCAGCAACCTGYGTGCACACAGCAGGTAGCTGGCTGCACCGACAGCTTCCTTCTGCAGTTTCTTTAGGAATCACTGCTTTCGTGGTCAGGCATGTATTTGTCCCTGGAAAAATATTTGCTGATGCGAATGTGTTATGCAAGGCAGC